CAGATGACTTTTACAAATGCACGAGCACTATACCAAATCCCTTTTCTATGCTATATAGTTTAAAAAAGCAAGTTGCGTGGAGACTGGATTCTTTGTGAGCTTACGGTTTCTCCAGACTCAGGAGGTAAAGATGATATCAGGATTTCAGCATCTTCTATCTATTTTGTCACTTGAGTGTGACAAAGGGCACAGCATGGGCCACAGGCCATTTTACCTCCAAAGTTTCTTCCTCTATGGCTTCCTGAGTGCTGCAAGCCTGGGAAATGCTTGCAACGTCAGGGTGTGGAAAGCTTTTGTCCCTTAGACATCCTCTGGAGCACAGAGAAGGAAGGCGCCTTTCTGACAGCTTCAGGAAGCGACCTCCAGGCCTCTCCACAGGACACTCAAAGGTGGGGCAAGGAAGAGAACACAATGTGGGTGGGAGGAGTCAAAGGCATCTGAGGACTCTGGTTTCTCTGCCCTCAGCCTCCAATTAGCTTTTGATTTTCTCCTGGAGGGGGACAGAGTAGCCATGAAAAGGCACCTAAGTAGGGGTATGTGTGAAAGCAAGTTTGGAGTACACTTTCCACTAGGAAACCAAGTTTAGTAGTTGAAAGAAACAAAAGGATGGATGATTAAGAGAAAGTGATTTCCGCTGTGTTTTGGCTTCACCATAGCAAGGTAGAACAGTGTACCTTTTGGTGCCCAAGAACTTTATTTCCAAATAGGCAGCCATTCAAATATTTTCAGTGACATCTGGGAGAAATATTACTTAAAAATACTTTCACCAAAGAAAGCATTATTCAGTATAGTCAACAGAGGCTAGACTTAGAGAAAATGGTATCCCGGAACCCTTCCCCAAATGTTAAAGTCTCCATTCATTAGGCCGCCAGAGAGGGGACGCAAAGACCACTAAATCGTATTCCTAGGTCCTAACACGATAGCTCCCTACCTGTGAGCACAAGGCCCCCATGAAGCTGCAAGGTAACTGCAAGGCTCTATATGGGCCATACTGGAAAAGTCTGACTGTTGCTTGTGAGAAACTATAAAAATACATAGTCTAAATATGCAGGGCTTTCTTTCTGTCCACCATTAATTATGATGGCAAGGAAGAAATATCTAGGGAAAACAATGTTAAGACAGAGTAGACCTAATTAAAGGTCCCCCAGCAGGACTGCCTACTCCTATCATTGATCATGATAATCCTTAACAATAACACAGGGTCCCACACAAGGAAAAGTGCCCACAGACATGATCTTCAGCCCTTCTCAGCTGGGAATCTTACCCCTTGTTCATTACCTACATCTCTATTTAAGGTTGAAAGAAAACACTGACTGTACTCATTCAATGCAGCAACCCATTCCTATAAAAGACATCTTAACCCTACAACACCGCCTTCCTTAAGACAAATAATGCTGATAATCTCTGCATTCCTCCATATGCAAGGGCCACCAAGGGAGAAATAGGCACAACTCTGAGAGTCGGCTCCAGAGAAGAATTTTCCTTCTAATTTCATAACCATGGAAAAGAGGAAAAATGGATAGTTATACTTCATAGTTGGACATTATTTCACCTTGACCACCACAGGGAGGACAATTTTGGGTACAATTAAGTTTAGAAATTACAGACATTCTCTCTTTCCCACTGTATCCCAACTCATGTAATTCTAATCACTGGACTGCGCAACATTAAAAATGAAAATCACCTTACTCCCCAGGTCTCCTTTATAATCTCAAGAACAGGCTTGGCACGACGTGAGTCTGGATGCCAGTCACACCATGGGGCTTGGTTTTGCTACAATGTTCTAAAGCACTGAGAATTCAGTCTTTAATGATCTGGCAATACCCGGGGAGGAAAGGGAAACATCTGAGGTTATTTTTACTTTTGCAGGTCTTCTGGCTGTACAGGGTGGATGGTAGGGTGGATCAAGTATTGTCTGGAGCCCTTCAGGGTCTTTTTTTTTTTTTTTTTTGCATGGCCTCATTTCCGTCTTCCTGTTGCTAGGAAGGAGAGTTAAGCATGAGAAACTCGTGTTTACAATACGGGACCATCCTGTCCAGCACAAGGCTCTCTTCAAAAAAGCCCAATTCACTTCACCCACTAATACTGTGTATGCCCCCATTATTCTGGACCAAATCACCCTTCCCTGAATATTTTCAAATTGCATATTTACCCACCTACGTCATAAAAATACCACTCTCATTTAAACATTGCGTCATGGCTTAAAATCTCCATGGGACACCAAGGGAAACCCAGTACTTTTTCCTGTATTTGAAACCACCTCTTGGAATCTCACCAAACCTCTGATGGGAAGGCATCACACTGGGGCTCCCACATCCCCTTTAAGTCCTATGGTTGCTTATCAAATAAGATTTTAAGTACCATATACATTTTTTTAACTCACTTCACAGAAATATCTTGGTTAATCACAACACGTCTTTCTATTAATCTGGTTTATTTTCCAGAAGCACTCAAACACCTCTTTTAATGTAAAAATGCTCTTAAATTTAGCTGTATCATTGCTCTTTGAACTACAGTACAGAAAAACAAAGAAACAAAACAAAGGCTTTAGGTTGAAGGGCAACCTGCCCCTCACCTCTTTTAGAGCCACAAGAAAATCCTTTGATTGGGCCAGTGCATTAAAACTTTAAACACTGCCTTCGATTAGTGATAGTTCATTGTTTAATCTTTTCACTCTTTAAGGAGTGAGTGGTGTTTCTCATAAGATCTACAATTGGGAAGTTATGACACAAGTCACCCAAATCATTTTCTCATTCACTCTAGATTTAAGTTGTAGGCTACTTATTCCAATTCTGTGGAGTTCAGAAAACAAGCATTCCCCCTTCCTAAGCTTCCAGTCTGTTTAATGTAAGGTGTCTCTCAGCTTGCATGAAAATAAAATCAGTTTTTGTTAAAAGCAAACTTTTAAAAACAGCTGGGAAAGTCAGTCTGCTGTGCTTCATTTAAAACTCTTGAACAGTAGTGCTAATGAAAAAAGTATGCACCCAGGCTTGGGCCACTCTGTAAATCTGGCATGTCACTATAAAAGTTAATACATGCAATAGCCAACATTTTCTCAGAAAATGTCTCGAAATAACTTCTGAACGCACATCTGCTAACCATTTGACACTCGTTCCTCAGGACTTTAGTTCTTCTGTCGGGGGGGGGGCTGCTGCCTTACAGGGCACCCCTCGACCATCTGCTGCAGTCTGCAAGCCAAGATGGCACTGGGTGCCTCCATTAATTCCACACTTACGGTCTGCAAATTATCTCTGCCCAGGACCAGCCTGCAGTCCAGATGGATGGTGAATTAGTCAACCTCTTGGAGCCGCTGATAGATTTACATTCAGGGCACTGCAGTCTGCTGGGCTATTATTTTCCCTCATCCCCTCAACAAACAGAATTTTGGAGGAAAAAAAAAAATGTAATTTGATACTCGGTATTGTGCCTTCTCCCGAGCTGTGATTTTTTTCTATCCAAATGCGTCATATACACCACCCTTACGAATCTTGTTGTAATGGATGGCTATGCCCAGGCTGCATTCCTCTATCTCACCAATATCAGCAGAAACCACCTCTGAGTTGAGAATGAAACCCATTTGCTAACCGTGTTGGGTGTGAAAGACTTACTCAAAGCAAGACTGGGGATGAAGCAAGACTCTGGCTCCGAGGGCCATTCCACGTATCTTCCCTTCCCAGGGTAGGGGAACAATGTTTTCTGTTCACAGTTCAGATCAGTGACTACAGGCAGGGGTTCTGCAGTAACGGGCTAAACTGGTATTTGTTGAACACCAGCAGTACCAGACTCTTCACTGAGCCCTTCACTTGTGTTAGCCCATTTGATCCTCACCACCTCCCCGCGTGGTAAATACAGTCATTACCCTCACGCTGCAGACGGAGGTACAGTGAGGTCGTGTCACTTCCTAGGTCCGCCCAGCTAGTAGGATGCAGACCCAGGATGCCGACCCCGCCAGCCCTACCCCTCACCCCGTCCCTTGTCCGCTGTGACTCCCCTCGCACCAGTGGCTGTGCGCTGGAAGGACGCGCCGAGACGCAGCAAACCCCACGCGGCAGGGTTGGGCTGCTGCGGCGGGGGTGTAAGTCCTTCCGAAGGATCAAAGGCTCGGCTTAAGACGCTGGAGATGGGGACAGGGGCAAAGAGTGGGGCAGGGTTCCAAGAAGCTGTCGCCTCGTTACGAAGAAAGTCGGGTCGGGAGGCGTGCTTCCTTCCTTTCTCCGGCCCAGGGACTTGCTCCGCGGGCTCCCCATCGGGAGCCAACGGCGTGGGCATCTCCACCGGGCATTTCAGGCACCCGATTCCAGGGCCCAGCACATGCAGCGACAATGCAGCCTTTCTGGCAGGAGCCCCTCACATCAAGCCACGGGGCTCGCTCACCCGCAGCCGCCAAGCCGAGCCTTTCCTGCCCGAGGTCATTCCCAGTGTTCAAAATATTTGAACGAAAACGAGTTGAAATTAAGTAACTTTTTGGCTTATTTACTTTCAAGCACTGTTTTAAAAAGCATTTGCAAGTGCCAGCAGGCTATAAAACGTTCCCAAGTAATGACCGCTCCGGGAGTCAACGCTGATTTTGGACTCGTATGGTTAGGGACAGAAAGCTCCGAGCCCGGAGCGGTCCCCAAAGGGAAGATCGGATCCAGAGCGAGGCCCGCGCCCCTAGGAGCCAGAAGCCAGCGCCTGGGATTTGGAACGAGAACAGCCCGCGCCCAGCCCCACCCCCCGGGGCGAGGAGGTTAACGTGCGCTTCCCTGCTTTAGCCGCGGTCGACCCCACGCCCGCGGTCCCCAGGCAATGAGAGGCCAGGGGTCACTACCCGGATCTCAAACCTCCCGCCCCGAACTCTGACCCCTGTTCTCCCTACCCACCACCTCCCCCACCGCAAGGCACCCGGGCGACTCCTCCGAAAGCGTTTCAAGAGCACAGAACGACAGGCACCGACTTGACAAGGCGGGGTGACATTTCCTCCGCGGCTGGCCCAACGACAAGGCACGGGTCTGGCTTACGTGTTAGGATCATGGTGTCCGGCTTCTCCCTGCACATCAAGGGAGGCGGAGGGCGGGAGGCGCGCAGTGGGGAAGTCGAGGCAGCCCGAGACGGCTGGGCTCCCGCGCCGGGACCCACGGCTGCACGCGGGCCGCGCACCCACGCGGTCCTCAGCGCATCCTCGTTGGCCTCTCCCTGCCCCTCGCCACGGCCCCGGAAAGAACGCAGTGTTTTTCAGAGATCGGAAACGGAGAGCTCTCAGGGAGCCGGGCGAGAAGCCCGGGAGCGGCTGCTCCTGCTGCGGGAAAGCGTGTCCATGGCTAGGACAGCAGCGAAGCGCCCTCGCACGGGCAGCGGGAGCGCAGTGCCTCGCGCGCGCCCAGCCGGCCGCCCCCGC